TAATATTGGCCCCATCTATGTGGGGTCTTGCATTAGGTAGACTGGATTTGGACCAATCTTTTGGTGTTTTGGCAGCCCCAAAAATGGTCCTTTGTAATGATATACAGTCTAAAAGTGGTACGAAAAGGTTCATATAATTCCTCCCTCTATGATAGAGGAAATGTTTGAATATAGTTCAATTACAGCAAGACATATAGGTTCAGTATCTTTTCCTTTACCAATAGTCTGCGTGATAAGCCACCATAAGTTCAAATCCACAGAAAAGCGAGTCCGGATCTGTTCCTCACTGCCTCGCGTCTTGCAAAGTCTTCACAAAACGTGAGGACGCCACACGTCCTAAAATCACGTAAAATCACTCCTCACAGAAAAGCGAGTGAGGAGCTTAACAGCCGTTAATCTCTATTCCGTTAGTCCGTACCTTTACCCCCAGCCCGGGTATCCCCTGCCTCTCTTGTTTTCTGTCCGACAATGAAAACATGAAACCCTAGTCCCAAGTGCCTTTTCCCGATGGCCGGTGATTTTACCGGTGACCATATGAAGGCTCCCTGTGATTATCAGTGAAACAAGACTCCGACAATTCTACTGCTTTCTCTTTTTCTATTCAAACTCTCATCCCTCTTTCTTTGCTCTTCACTAAGGACCCAAAACCTCTTTTCCCTTCTAGCTATGATCCAAACTTCTTCATTTCTCTAGTGGGGATTAATCTCATCAGCGAGAATAGACAGGGCAACTCGATTCCGGCAATTCAAATACAAGTAAATCTTAACTGAAAAATCTCATGTTGGGGTTCTTTGTCTCTCTATTTTTTTATTCTTCCTAACCCGCTCGAATGAATATGGTGTTTTCTGGTTCAAACTGGAGCATACAGAGACCAGTTACAGTGAACAGTGTTTTCTATTTCTAGAAAGTTTGTTCATTGAGACCAACAACTTTTCTTTATTTTTGTACAAAGACCAGCAACTTTAGAATTTGTTGTCTAATTTTCCCCTTTTTTTTGGCTGAATAACTAGTTCTTAATTTATCATATTCATATCCCACTAGTTCTTAATTTATTCATACAAAAAAAGATTACCATTCGAATGCAACTGAACAGAACGAGAATTTAGACAAAAAAAGAGAAATCAGCAGAATTGTCAATCTAATTAGGGATGATGATGGTGGGGGGTGGGCTGACGAAACGGAGGCTAATGACTGTTAGACTCTCCACATTCACAAGATTTTTGGGGACGCGTGGCGTCCTTACATTTTGTGAGTACCTAGGGAGGCACCAAACGGCGAGGAGCAGATCCGGACTCCAGAAAAGCAGGCTCTTTAAGTCTTTATTGTAGTGTGAACCAATGGACCCTACACGCTTCCCTGCTATCTGGTACCTAACCCTACTAACCAACCAGTTACAGATCTAAAGTATATCACCTTGCGTCTACATCTCTTGAACCTAATGCTTTGCACTAAGTTTTACCCTAACCAATAAGAATTCATCAAAAATTAATTTACGGGGGGGTTTTGAATGGTCAAACTCTCAAATTTGAAATCTTCTCATATCTTCTCATATCAAACTTAGACTATTAATACTTTGAGCCCTGAATTTGACCAATCAAAACCACTCGCTTGAATTTTGATGAATTCATTGGAACTTGGTACAAAGGCTCAGTTTGTTTTTCAGCAAGTTTATTATTCAAAAACATTTTTTGTTTATAAAGGCTCAGTTTAATCTTTTATAAACACTTTTTGAATAATAAACTTTTATTTGTTTCTTTGCATAGAATAGGTCCAGCAAAGCCATAGACCCAGGCATCAAATGCAAAATTTCTTTCGTCAATTTTGGCAAAAGCAGAACTAGCACAGATCTATTTCTCTTGCAAGACCCAAGAAGGTTCGTCCTTTGAAATTTTATGGACTCTAAGCCGGGACACCGAGACAGAGGCAGTGGGCCTTTTGCTTGCCCAAAAATGACGTTGGGCCATTGAGGCTTGTCCATAAGCCTCACTCGGTTTCCTGAGGACAGCATTTTCATACCCAGAGATCATTGACTCCTGGACTGGCCCCTGGTTCATAGTTGTAGCCAAGCGCTATAGCTCATGGGTCATGCTCAAATATTTTACTGAAGGTACACTTACTCAAATAAGATTGAGAAAGTACTACACCCATGCTCACAGCAGATGTGATGTCAATAGAGTATCTGTTTTTGATTTGATCTTTGGTGTGTTTATCTCTTACAGATGTGAACTCAAGTGAGGTATCCTCGACCACCTAAACTAGGTTGGAGTAGTGGTTCTAACATGTGGGAGTCCCACTTGATGGTCTATTGTTGCCAAAATTTAAGTATATGGAATGATTCCTATTCTTAAATTTTAATATATTTATTTGGGTGAGGCTTCAAAAAAAAAAAGATATATTTATTTAGGTGAAAGACTGAACTTAGGTCTGGCTGGGGTGGAAAATTCAAAATTGTTAAATTTTCATTGAACCCGAAACTCTAATTTGAGCCTTGATGTGATTGAAATCATTCAAATCGGACAACCTGATTTGCATGCAGCCACTGGCACAATCAGGAATTTTTTTCTACCAGAGATCTCGGTTGGGCGAAATGGTTCAAACCAATATTAGGAAAAACACAGAAAAAGCGATGGAAGAAATTCCGGTTCATACTTGTAAACTGCGATCTTGCTGCTAAGAATAGTTGAAGTGGAGAGTGGAGTGGACAAGGAATTCAAGAGGGTTTTCTGGGGTTCCAAATTTCAGGAGGAAAAAATTGTTCTACCCTACCCTCTTATATTTTCATTTAACTTTACTGCGTCAATATTAGAAAGTCGGGCTGAAACAGTACATGTACTCAATTATCTTTCTGAACTTCAGTAGGGACAATTTGACCCAATCGGATACACGTAGCTCCGCATTACTTGCAGCTGAAAGCATGGTTTTTAAACTCCTGTTGATTCGGACGGTCGGACCGTTCAGCGCAGGAACTATCTAGGTTATCGGTTCTGTTTTATTTCAAACTCGGTCTCTGGTAAAAAATCGTTGAATCGATCAACGATCCGTTAATTCGGGCAGTCAAACCGTTCAATGTTTTTGTCCATTTTTATTTTTAATTATTTATATTTTTTTTAATTTTTGTTGTTAGAATGGGTCACTTGTTTGAATCAAACGGTTGAACCGTTGACCCAGAAACCGGTGGCCAGAACGATTCCATTTCTGTGTCATTTTTTTTAAACCATGGCTGAAAGAGAGTGTTTGCTAGGGCTGTTCATAACAAGACCCAAACCGACCAACCTGGTCCGATCCAACCCGAGTTGGCTAGTTTTTCTTCAGCACCGGTCGGTTTTGGGTTACAAAAAACATAAACCGATGGTTCGGTTCGGTTTTGAATTTTAGAAAACCGAAACCGAACCGATCCGAACCGACTTAGATATATATTATTTATATATATATCAGCTTTATTTCAGAAATATATATATTATATATAAAATATCAGTTTTAATCCATCAAATCATTTTTAATTTCTAGGCATCCAACCTTTGTTTTCTTAGACTTGAATCTTTTACCATTCACACCGAAAGAATCATTCACAAAACTGATCCAAACCGACCAAATCAGTTTTACTTAGTACTGGGTCGGTTTCGGTTTTATTTCTAGGTAAACTGACCCAACCCCACCCATGAACAGCCCTAGTGTTTGCCAATATGATTTTGCGGATGTGGCTGTTAATTTTGCTTTGAAAACAAAATCATACTCTTTATTTAAGCTCTAAAACAGGCCCATATTTTTTTTTAAAGCCATTACCTTCTCAACTATTTATGTATTGCCATTCTAAAATCTAAATATTGAGACCTCTACTTACAAATTACAATAGTGGCTACTCCAAAAGATTGGGTTTGTAATGGGTTTACTTCAATTGGCCCAATAAGACCAAAATCGATATATATACACATACATGTATACACCTAAACATGCATTTAGATGCTAGTGAGGGCGTGCTGCAACCTGCAAATAATTCTTAACAACCCAAAGGCAATTACGTTCGGGCCTTCGGACCCCTAGTCGCATATGAATTTCCTTGTTGCTTTGGTTGCAGAGATGCCCAAATTTGGCCAACGGGGGGGGGACTTCTATGCTGCATAAATAATCTACAAATCAGATTACAAAAAGAACTCAACAATTCTGATTTCTGATGAGATTCTGTTTTTTTCTTTTTTATTATTATTATTATTATTTTTTTTTTTAAGAATGATCCCTTCTTCTGGTAATACAAGATAAAGCAAAGGGTGAGTTGAGATGGTACATTCCCACGAATCCTCGCAGATGATACAGCAAAACCCTCGATATCTGGATTTCAGTTAAAGGGGAGCAATTACACCATTGTGCCACTGAAAGTATACAAGTCAACCACCTCCAGAATAAACCACGAATAATCTCCAAAAATCCTTGAAAAATTACCTATCAGCCTAATCAATTCTTCATGCAACCTGTTGACCCTAGTTACTGTATTGGATTTCACTTGAAAAAAAAATAATAAAAAATGAATTAAATCTGATAAGAAATTGTTTTATCCCTCAGGAAAAATAGTATATTGCAACTGTATAATGAAGGTTGAAAAGAAAGAATAATTTGGCCCACTTATAAACACCTATTTAAGTCCGAAAACTTGTTCAAATCAATGCATAGAAATTTGGGGACTCAGCATGGGAAGCAAGGCAAGATTTCAGATCTATTAGTCTCATAAAATTTATAAATTAATATGGTATAAAAAAAAAAGTTATGGATGTATCTACGACCATGACACTCTTCATGGACTAGTTTCCTTGTTGAGAATATAGGATCCTCACAGCAGCTGGTCGCAGTTAACACTACTATCTGCTTGGCCAAAGGGGGCTCATCAAGAGATGTGCCATTATTTGTATGATCCTTGCTTTTGTCATTTGCTGGGTTCTATGGCAAGAAAGAAACAACAATACTTTGAGGCAAAAGTTCTTCAATAGGAAGGATGCTGGGGAAATTGGAGCAGCAACTATCCATTTATTTATCAGTAAGTAAATTCCTTTATTTAATTAAAAGTTACTATGGAAGTACAAGGTAAGTCATCTTTAAATGACCCAGGTTACAACGTGTTACAAAATTGCCCAAAATAAAGTGGGTCTATCAGCTCCCTACTCTGCTAGAGTATCCGCCAAGCTAGAGCTCATAAGGACTTTTACAACTTTAGATACACTTTCGTAATCAATGGTGTAATTGTATCTAATAGTGCCTTCAAGCCAGCAAGTTTTGATGTACAGAATAGAGTTAGCCTGTTGCCAGTAGCAGCTGCATATCTTTTTGTATACCTTTTTCTCGAGGGTAACTCTCCCTCTTTTTTAATAAACACATCCATTTTCCAATATATATATAGCTGGATTTGTCACCTAAAAAGATTGCAGTTTCTTCTTTGTTTCAGCTGTTCTTCACCCTTCCTCATTATTCGACCTCATTCTAAGCCATTGATACTGATATGCATCATGAAGTAAAAGCAGTGCTGGGTCCAAAATCATCATTCCCTTCCTATTCCTCCATATCCACATGGAAGATGATCAACAATAAACATTCCTGAGGAGGTGAAGGTTGAAGAAACTCAGTTTGTTCCATCAGATGAATGTAGTAGGAGATTTTCTTGATATCCACCATCATGCTATCTCCTACAAAGTCACTCAACAGATGGAAGTCCTTCTCACCAATCCCCAACAAATCTGTATTGCCAGGAACTTGAGGATAAAGGCCATTACCCAATGTTGGTCCTATCTGGGGTCTTGGCATGTTTAGGATATATCTCCGTATTTTGTTGTAGATGTATGTTGATGAAAAGCATCACGGAAGGTTGTATCCAAGTTTATCCCCAAAGAAACCATTAAAGATTGCAATGCCAAATCATAGTGATTCCACTTTTCCAGTAAAGATGCTGTTAGAAAAACAACAAAGAAAGAAGGAAGAAAAAAAAATGATTAGCCAAAATGTTAAGGCAGCTCTGTTTCAGGATAGGCTTGAGTAACATTATAAAGAGGCGATACTCAAAGGTTCCTTATTTTTTATCCGAAACAGTCATAGACAAATTATCGAAATTTTAACGATGATTCTCTGTTTTGTAGCTTGCATGGTAAACTCTCAAAATAATGAACGTAAGATGAGAGACCAAAAAGGACTAGGAATATGAAGCAAGATTTGTGAAAATGGTTAATGCATACCAAATTATGGATATAGGAATGAATTACCTGGATCAGTGCAATACAGTACTGTGGAGTGCAGCATCTCCAAAGTATTGCATAAGAGAAATTCTTTATTTTCTTTTCTCATTTTTTACAGTTTATCATTTTGCATAAAGATGCAACCAAGCCATATAATTGGTAATGCAGAAATTACAAACATGAAGGTAACCGGAAGAAGTTTTACATTAGATGATTACCTTATTACATGCTGAGCTCCTCCATAGAATTAAATGTTAATTCATACACTGAGCTTTCAACAAAGAGATCTACATCCATGTGGATATATTTACTCTATGGACAAAGCTTTATTTTAAGTCAAGCAGATATGACATATCTAAACTAATCAACCTCCTTGAACCCTATTCATGTGTTTACTGTTGATTTTTGAACTTCCATCTCATAGGAGTCCAAACAGAAACCTGAAAGGCTGTTATTATGAACCTTAAGAATCACAACCACCTAAAATTATAGAACATATTTCAATAGAATTTTATTATCCCTTTTCAGGTTGCCTCCACTAGTAAAACCATAAAATAACACAAAAACAAGGTAGGATGTGTAAAGATCAGAAAACAAGCTGGGGAAAAAGCATACCTAAACCTTTTGAGGTATCATCCTCCATTCTTGAAAGTGATTGTGGCTTTTGGGATTAGTATATACGTTCTGAATTATAAAGATATCTGGGACCTGTTAAGTATACATATATTAGCCCTAACACCAAAATACATCCATCACAGGAAATGGAATACTCACCATGCCTCTGCTCAAGAACCATCAAAGCATTCTGCAGCATCTCCCTTGCCCTTCTATCTGGAGTGCATCCAGCACATTCCATTTCCTTATAGATTCCAGGAACCTGATGCAGAACTCTTAAATGAATCAGGTAGGCAGAAGTGCAAATGAAAGGAAAGAGAAGAACAGCGTGAACACATCATGAGATTCCATGGAGCATCAAGAATAACGCATATAAATAATCATTGCTTCTGTGACACAGCCAGGTGTCTCACTGCATGTATTGTAAATTTGTAATGTAAAGGATTTGAAGATCTTTCTAATCCCAAAGACATAACAGGTATTTCGTTGAACATTCTCTTCGTTTAAAATTTCAACATAGCAGTTTGACTAGAAAAGTTCTTATTGATCTAAAAGATGGTAGATAAAATGAAAACACAATTTAATCTTCAAGGTTTGAAACCAGAACATATTTCTTGCTTTAATTCGTGCTGACATAATGCAGAACAAAGCTATCTATCAAAAAAGAAAAAAAAAAAAGAATAAAGCTCACCTGGTCAAATTTCCTTGCCCTAATAAATGCCTTCATAAGTGTACTGTAAGTAACCACATCAGGATTAATTCCCTTCACAAAAAAAAATCATAGTTAGTACTTGAAAAAATGACTATAAAAGTTAAATGGAAGAAGAAAATTTGCAATAAAACTTATCCTCTGCAGTAATGACAGGTTATATAAAATAAGTAAATAACACTTACACTGTCCTTCATATGGTAGAAAATTGATAATGCCTCTAAATGTCTCCCAGCAACACCAAACGCATTGATCAACATATTCAGCATTATAAGGTTTGGTTCAATTCCATCTGCTTCCATGAGCTGAAGAATCCGAACAGTCTGTTCACATAATCCCTACACAGAATAAATTATAAACCATGAAAGGTAAGGCCTTGGTGGATGTTTTTCAGAAAAGAGGTTCATCCATTAATGACCTATTATAAGGAAAAGAGCAAATTAGTTGCATCCTGATACATCTATTACTATATAATGTGGACACAACACCTCCACAAATGCAGAAATCTTCATGTTCAAACTTTCAAATGCTAAGAATGCTCTTTACTCCCCATCTATCAAAAAACAAAACAAATGCTCTTTACTCCCTTTTCCATCAACTCTCATACGTAGATTTCCACTTTTAACCCTTGCAGTTTATCATATCCCTTTTGTTTCCTGTCTCTTGTTTCCACTCTACCATTAAAGTTCTATTGTCAAACTCTGCTCTCTTTCTCTAATGGATTGCACATACAATGCATGTTCCATGTGGAAAATTAATGCTAAAAAAGTGTGTTTCTTCTGCTGAAAGCTTAAAAGAATGAAAATATTGGTGACAATGGTGTCATACCTTGGTATGCTTTTTAATAGTTATATTAGAGGTCAATTAGTTATATATATCTTATATATTTAGGAAACTACTTAAATGTACCCTGAACTTTCAAAACCTACTTATATATACATACATACATATATATATGTATGTATGTATGTATGTATATGTATGTATGTATGTATATGTATGTATGTATGTATGTATATATAGGATGGCCCCACATAACACAAATAGGCCATCTGTTAAAGAAAGCGTTAGAGCTGTTTGATACACTGTTAAATTCTTTTATAATCCCTTTTTTACCCGTGTTCTTCCTTCCTCTCATCTCCTAACCAAACAAGCTACTTGAACCCCACCTCCTTGTCCCACTGGTGTCTATTTTCTCCCGTGATTATTCTCACAGACTGCACAAAGGGGGCCATTGGCAAGAGAGATGATGACAACGACTAGGAACACAGCAGAAAAGAGATCGGGATTCATGAATCAAGACAAGGTCTTCCTTTAGTTTGCAACAGTTTGTTAATGGCGTTGGGTTGGTCTGCAACAAATTTTCCCGTTTTACTTCTTCTCAAGTAAAAGCATCCAGTTTCACTTTTTCTCAAGCACAACTTAACTCGACAGCTACTTTAGCAATGATCTCCTTGCCTTGGTCTGCGATTTTGGGGGAGTTGGAGACTGCAAAAAAACGAACTGGGGCAGAAGAGGATGGGGGTGGGTTTCTTTTCTTCTCTTCTCTCTTTTTTTTTTTTCCTGGGGGGGGAGGCGGGGGATAATGGATAATGAATCCACTGGGGAGTAAAGGATTACATATATTTGGTGTGCAATGTCCATTATGGTGTCTGTGCAGGTTAGGGTATGGTCTGCAATGGCTTTCCACTTTTCCCTGTTTTGTTTGTTCTTATCCAGTCTCCTCTCCAACTGGGCGGTTAAAGCAACTGTTTTCACATTTTTTCTGTTTAAATGGCTTTCACCTGTAGACTGATTCTTAGACTGTTTTTCTTTTTCGAGGAAGTTGTTAGACTTAACCTTGGTAAGGTCAACAAGGTACATGTAAGTTGTTTTTAAAAATTCAGGGTATATATAAGTAATTAACCCTTATAATAGTTATAATATCCATGAAAATTGTAGTTACCTTTTTCTAAATTTCCAATAAGATATTACTAAATCAGCATTTTAAAAAGTTTATGAGGCTTATGCATTGGGGTTCACCTTAAGGTGAGGCTTGAGGAAAACACCTCAAAGCTCAACCTTGAGGATCAAGCCCGAAAGTCTAAAGCACAATAATCAGAACTTGAGATGCCTTTTATTTGTATATACAGACATACTTATACATAAATTTTAACATATTTAAAGCCATTTTGAGGTATTATTTAACATTTTATGCTTTTCAATAGTTACAAAATAATTTAAAAGAATGTGACAGGGGTTTGACTCCCACTGTGACAGCCTTCTCTGAAGCTCCTAATATTCTCATCTCCTTTGTTTATGTACTTTTTTATGTTCATTTATGTACTTTCCACATTAAATATACTCTTCTTATGCATATTTCTATACTCTTCATTTTAGTTTGATATTCTTAAAAGTTGGTAACCTGCAAGGCTTGAGCCTCCACCTCCAGGCTTATGCTTTACAAATCTAAATGTCTTAGTACCACATCTCATGCCTCCACATTTTTAAAAATTGTGGTAAATAAATTGATAAGCCATAATCAAAAAGTACTAAATTAGTATTATTATCAGTCAAATGCAGCTTAATAACAAATGTTACATATGGAATAATGATTGAAACAGCAGTTATGCAACCTGCTTTATCTGCATTTCAAGGGAACCCTGTCTAGTCATCTACTGTTGCAATGCCATAATCAAAAAGTACTAAATTACTATTATTATCAGTCAAATGCAGCTTAATAACAAATGTTACATATGGAATAATGATTGAAACAGCAGTTATGCAACCTGCTTTATCTGCATTACAAGGGAACCCTGTCTAGTCATCTACTGTTGCAATGCCATTATGAAAAACCACAAATAGCCACTCCAAAAGTTAAGTTAATCACATAGTCCTATATACCAATGGACCAAATACAGAGTAAAAATAGATAGGATTGCTTAAAAATTATGAAATTTCAACCCGGAAAATGGTCTGTAATTATTTACACTCTACGACCAAAAGCTGATATCTTGAAGCACATCCGACATAGAAACTAATATCAACTAGATGGTAATTACAAGTTACAAAAATTAATTGGATTTCATTGAAATTGCTTTTCAAAGTCTCAAAGTACTAAATAATAAATACCCCCAAATACTGTTAAATGACTAACCTGTGGACCCATGGTGCAATTTAGTAAATCTATAAGAGATATGGGAAACCATCTTAGCAATTTATCAATTTGCAAGAAGGGAAGTAGCATTACTTACCCGGCTACCCTCCTAAGTTCCTATGCAATTCAAGGAATTCATTCATAACCACAATGTTCAATATAATAGAGAAACAAAAAGGAAAGAGGAGGCAACAAAAACATAAAGATACCTGTTGAGCATAAGCATTTGCTAACGCACAAAACATGTTTGCTGAAGGCTTTAGACCTTCTGACTTCAGGGCCAATAAGCACTCATCAGCATCCTGAAATCTCCCATATTGCCCATAGATATCTGCCAGAACAGCATAAATGACCCCACTCTTCCTCAACCCTCTATGTTTCATATTCTCAAAGTTCTTCTTAATGGCATTCCATTTCCCTTGCTCTGCCAACCGGCTAATGATATTAACAAAAATTTTGGGATCTGGATACAGCCCTTGTTCTTGCATCTTAGTCAAGAACTCAAGAGCTCCACCGACTTCGCCGGCCTTACAGTGCCACCGGATCAAAGAATTCCATGTCATTATATCAGGCCTTATACCTTCTTTCTGCATATTCTCAAATGCTCCAACAGCTTCCTCCAGTTCACCATATTTCCCAAACGTATCGATTATGCTGTTATAGATTCGTCTATCAAGTGGCACCCCCATTTCTCTCATCTCCCTCAAAACGTCCATGGCTTTCTGCCACATTCCATTGTCTCTGTAAAGATTGATAATCTTGCTATACACATAAGAATTCAACTTCAAACCCTCTCGTTTCATTTCATTGATAACCGACCAGGTGTCATCCAACCGACCAGCATGGACATAGTAATCGAGTAGAATCTCATAGGTGTCTTGGTTTCGTCCAATATCCAGATCACCCATTTCCAACAAAACTCTATCTGCAAGCCCTAAGAGCCCTTTCCTTAAAAACCCTTTGAGCAGAACATTATAAGCTTTCACTCTCGGCTCAAAACCACTCCACCTCATCTCCTGAAAGATAGCATCTGCTTCAAGAGTCCGACCTACGCTTCCGAGAGCTTCAATTACACAAGTGTAAGATATCAAATTGGGACGAATCCCCAGAGCCTCCATCTGAGCAAGCAACGCCATGGATTTATCAATATCGCCTTCTCTACAGTAATTACGAATCGAAATGTTGTATATTTCACAAGAAATTTCTTCCTTATTGCTGCAACTAATATTCGAGTTATTGAAAATCAAGTTGTTGATGGTACTGGGACATCTCCTGGAAGCCATTAAAAATGTTTCTTCTTCCACACCTTTGCCCTGCGTTGAACCAAATGAAGTCTTACTGGTTTTACAGTTTACAGAACTGTTACGACAACCGAAGCAGGAGAAAGGAGAAGAAACGCCATGGATAGAAAGCAATTGAGACGCTTTGAGTGGGAAAGCGAACTGCGTCCCCATCGCCTGGATGGAAATCTTCTGCTCCTCCCTCACTCACCGCGAAGAAGCGGAGGAATCAGGAATGGAACTCTGTTGAAATATCTGGCCATCTGGGTGTTACTGCTAGCTTTGCATCAATAAAGGTACAATTTGGGTGTGCTGGGTCATATCCAGGCCCAATCCTAACAAGGAAAAGGCAGGCCTTGGGCCCAAACCTAGACCGGGCCCGAGATCAACCCTGATCTATCTAACTAACCCACTCAGCCAAAAATTAACGTAGACACGCTTGGGTTGTGCCTGGGTTGAAGAATCTGGTTCAAGAAGACTTATTGGGCCAAAGATGTATTAAAAATGGCCCTAAAGCCATCTGACCGTGTGTGTGGTATGGTTCCCCTTTATTTGAAAAACAGTGCCATGTAATCACCAAATCAGTATTTGTCTTATCATGCTATTTCGTATGCATAGTTATTGGTAAATTCTTGTATAGATTTGCATGCGAGGCAACGTTGAGGGAAGCTTCATTTTAACGCTTCCCTTAGTGGTTAAGTATTTATTTACTGTTTCAATGATGTGTCATCTAGTTGTCAACAAATCCCAAAAAAAAAATATTTATCAACCACTTTTTCTCAGTTTTGAAGACAAATCAAATACAAACATTTATTTAATAAACAGAAGCTATATCGAACATATACTAAATCGTTAGATAGGAAATATGGCTAAAATTGGGCCAGATTCAGATTTGAGTTGATCCATCCACATCTGAAATTTAATCCGATTACTAAAACTTCAAGTATAAATTTGATCTGTTATCCAGTATCAGATTGGATTTTATTCATATATGTTTTATTGCAAATTGAACCATAGATAAGTTTAAGGCAAAACTGGTAGCAAAGGGGTACAAACAAAAAGAGGGTGTAGAATATTTTGACACCCACTCTTCGATAACAAAAATAACAACCATTATGGTCCTATTTGCCATAGCATCTATATATAAATTGATTATACATCAAATGGATGTAAAAATCGCCTTCCTTAACTGGGATTTACAAGAAGAAATATATACGGATCAGCCCGAATGATTTAGAGCTCCGGGGCAAGAGAATAAAGTTTGCAAACTAGTTAGATCATTATATATACACTTAAACAAGCTCATAAACAATGGAATGAAAAATTCAACAGTGTTTTAAAAAAATAATGGGTTTGTAGTAAATAATGCAGATAGGTTGTGTATACAACAAGTTCAATGAAAATTCAGGAATAATAATATGCTTGCATGTGGATGACATGTTAATTCTGAACATGAATTTACAAGTAATTAACAATACAAAGAAATTTCTGTCATCTAACTTTGATATGAAAGATATGAGAGAAGTAGACGTAATCTTTGGAATAAAAATCCCGATAGCTTGGCATTAACACAATCTCATTATGTTGAAAGAGTGTTAGAGAAATTTAATCAGCTTGATTGTGTGCCATTAAGAACACCTTATAGTGTTAGATTAAAGAAAAATACTGGTGATGTTTCTCAACATTCGTATGTTAGAATGATAGGTAGTTTAATATTCTTGATGAACTATACACATCTTGAATATTACACTTGCTGTTGGGAAACTAAGTAATATATTCATAATACGGAACATGAGCATTGGAACACATTAATTAGAATTTTGAGGTACTTAAAAGGTACTATTAACTTTGGATTGCATTTTAATGGATATCCAACTGTGTTAAAAGGCTATTGTGATGCAAACTAGATCTCATTTTCAGATGGGACCAAATCTACTAGTGGGTATGTATTTACTTTAGGTGGTGGAGCCCATGAATTTTCATGGAATTACATAAAACAAACCTCTATTGCAAGGTAACAATGGAATCTAAATTCATTACTTTAGAACAATCTGGTGCGAAGGCCCAATGGCTTTGTAATCTATTGATTGACTTACCTCTATGGACAAAACCAATCCCATTTGTTTCCTTGCAATGTAATAGCCAAGCGGTAATTGCCCGAGCCAAAAATAGTAGCTATAATGGGAAGAATCAACATAATTGTCTAAGACAAAACATAGTAAAAAGACTAATAAGAGACAATGTGATCACACTTGAATTTGTGAGATTAGAGAAAAATTTAACAGATCCTTTGACTAAGGGATTGACTAGAAAGTTAGTCTTATATACATCGAGGGGGATGGATTTAAACCCCATAAATTAAACAAGTAGTGGTGGCAATCCAACCTCTGTGCTTAGAGATCCCATGAAAGAGGTTCAATGGTTAATAACAAGTCAATATAAGTTGGTAGAACACTATCATATTATATTGAGAGTGCCCATCCCTATGGTGTAGATAATGCTAACTACAATGTAAGGAGGTTGAGTAACTTACTCTTAATGAATTCATAGCCCTTATGGGTGGTGTGAGTAGTTGCAATACACACTTGATGAATTCACCTATATGAGTGTGAAGGTGGGGCCACCTCTTATGAGAACAAGGGCTTTGTTCTCTAGAGCACTTGTGAAAATCCAAGTATGAGTGCATGACCAAAATGTACCAACCCGCGAGAACTAGTTGTTATAGAGAGCAAGACGTGTATTGAAAGTGCATCTAGGTTACAATAAAGGAATTTGGTTCAAGACTTAGTTTCATCAAATTTTAGTAACACATACCTTATAAGCACTAGGTATCGATTCAAGTCCACAAGACATTGCCACTAATTCGTTTTTGCTTCTCGAAGTGTGCCAAATTTGTTTTAATTTGAATCATGTGGGGGATTGTTGATATCCTTTCTTGGTTTTTGTCTGATTAAAATTATTGCCTTTGTTGTTGCTTTTTGACCTTTTGTCTTTTCTGTCTTGTTTGCATTTGGAGTGGCTTGAGTCACATACGGACTAGGAAGAGCAGTCCTCTAAAGTTTATCTACTATCTCTTGCTTTTGGGTTTGTCTTTGAGGCTTGTGGAGGGAGTGCACCTGAACCAGAACCACCACACATGCATGCACTGGGTCGGGCTGGATTGCACGCAGACGCCCGCCCACTGAACCATGCCATGCCATTCTATGCCACACGCATAGGTCCAAGGCCCTTGCTTTATCTTTATTTATTGTCATTTTGCTTTGTTTTTTACATCAAGGATTTAATGTTTTAACCAAGAATTCATTTACTAAACGTTCACTTTGTACCTGGCCACTCTCTTATTGTGTGGGATAACTTCCAAAGTTGGTGGGAGTTGTTCGGAGATGTTTCAATCCTAGGTTTTCTTAGTAGCCAAGACATCTACGAATATATAGCAGTGATCTTTAGCCTTGCAAGAGTGTGCTTGCTCTCTCCCTCTATATGCATCTTTTGCTCTTCCCCACTCAGTGTTTCCTTCATTTTCTGGGCGCATATAACGGCTTGGTTTGCTGCTTTGGATTGTGGGTGAACACAATGCCAAGGTTGAGAGCTGTTGTATCCTAGAGGCCAACTGTTAGTATCCTTCTGTACCAACGGGAATACTCCGAGAGATGGTAGAATTGGTTTTAAGGAGAGTGGACACTTGTCACGACTCAACTACACCGATAAATTTTAATTCAATTCTTTATCAGATTGCTATTCATTTCCTAGAGTTTGGTTTTGCTTTCTTCTTGATTTCATCTATGTTATAGCCATATTTCTGCACACATATTTCCAACACTCATAAACCTTTGGTTCCTGGCCTTCTTTTCTTCCTATTTTTTCTTTCCTTGTTTTGCTTTCTTTATATGTTCTTCATGGGTTTGGAATTTCTGGAATAATTTGAACCTTAAAGGGTGGAGGATCGGACATGGAAGTGACATGAGAGGATCAATAGAATTTAAACAGATTTGGAAGATTAAACTATAGGTTTCACGAGCTTGAGGACGAGATCAAGATTGCTAAGGTACACCTAACCTAAGAGGATTTTTCCTATTTCATTTCTGTTTTTATCATTTTATATTTTTTTAATACTGAGCTTAATTTTATTGGGTAATCTGTGTTGCCATATAGAGCAAACATTTATTTTGTACAAGCCTATTTATTTTGTATTCATATTATATTTCCATAAGTAGATTGTATAGCTGTAGGTAGAGATAAATCAGCCTTAAATCCCTGTAAATCAGCCTTTAATTACTGTATATTCAGATATATATTCAAGGAAATCAGAATGAAAAGGCATTGAGCCATTCAATCAAAATTCTTTCAAGGCAAAAGTTATCATGGTATCAGATCACTTGTCTTAGAGTTTTGGAATTTCTGGTTATTCTTGGGTGTTGGAACTTCAGGCCGCTATAGATTGCAAGTTCCATCTGTGTGATTTTTTTTTCAGAAAGCTCACATATTTTGGTAATTTTTTTCCAGTCATATTTTGGGTTGTTTATCTCACTATATTTGTCTTGTTTTCTGCTGAAAATGGCTAGTAACCACTGAATTTTGTGTTAAATTTACGGGAAAAAATTATTCGGCATGGGAATTTCAATTCCGTTTATATGTTACTGGAAAAGAGTTATGGGGACATATTGATGGTACTACTCCAGCTCCAGCAGATGCTACTCAATTGGCTCAATGGAAGATCATAGATGCTAGGGTGATGTCTTGGATTACCGGGTCATGTGATTCTCAAATTGTTCTTAACTTACGCCCCTATAGAAGTGCTCAAACCATGTGGGAATATTAGAAAAAGCTTTATAATCAAACAAATTCAGCCAGGAGATTTCAATTGGAGTGTGAAATTGCAAATTATACACAGGGGAGTCTCTCTATTCAGGATTACTACTTTGGTTTTCAAAATTTATGGGCTGAATTTTCTGATATAGTGTGTGTTGTAGTGTCTAAAGATTCTCTTGCTGATGTATTTGTTGTTCATGAGATTAGCAAGCATGATCAGTTTTTGATGAAGCTACGATCAGATTTTGAAAATGCTTGTTCTAATTTGATGAATCGTCATCCTCCTCCTACCTTGGATGTGTGTTTCAGTGAATTTCTTCGTGAGGAACAACGACTTCTTACACAAACCACTCTTGAACAGGAGAAAATGACTACAACACACATGGCATTTTCGGCTCACGAAAAAAGCAAGGGTAAAGATATGAGTAAGGTTCAGTGTTTTA